CATCGGGACGTGTCCCCCCACTGGACTCTGGAGCCATCGGGACGTGTAACCCCACTGGACTCTGGAGCCATCGGGACGTGTCCCCCCACTGGACTCTGGAGCCATCGGGACGTGTCACCCCACTGGACTCTGGAGCCATCGGGACGTGTCCCCCCACTGGACTCTGGAGCCATCGGGACGTGTCCCCCCACTGGACTCTGGAGCCATCGGGACGTGTCCCCCCACTGGACTCTGGAGCCATCGGGACGTGTAACCCCACTGGACTCTGGAGCCATCAGGACCGGACACTGTAAACACTGCACAGTTACGGTGGCCTGCAGGGGCCAAACTCGCTGCTGGTTTCTGCTCCAACATGTCTGCAGAAGTTTGTTGTTGTGAGTTCTTGTTGTGGAGAATCAGCTGTTGAGAAACAGTTGTTTGTTTTTGTTTACTTGTTTGTTTGTTGACAGGTTGTTTTTATCTACCTGCATTCTGATTTTCTTTTTGCTCTGCAGCGTCGTGTCTCAGCCTCTTGGGTCGGCCATGTTGGATCTGCTCATCAGAGTTCTGGTGTTGACCCGTCTTCACCCGTTGCCTCACAGAACCTCGCTGCCAACCTAACTCCTCCCCTTCGTCTCCCCTTCCTCCACCTGGACAGGAAACAGGTGAGTCTTACAGGAAGTGCAGACATCACCTGTAAGCAGAGGAAAGGTTGTAAACGATAATAAAACAAAACTGTTAAAATATAAAAATGGAAAATAAATTACATCTGAAGACTTTTAGTTTTATTTACTTGTTTGTGCTTTTTTTATTTTTTTTATTTTTTTGTTTTACGTGAACGTTGAGTCAGCGTTCGTCTTCTGTTTTGATTACATTTGTGCTGGTTTTTTGCCATAAGCTAGCATTTTGTAGCATTTAGCTTTCAGCTGAATTTCAGCTTCTTTATTAAAATTCAACAAATTTATTCAGAATTCAGCGTTCACATTTCTCCGGTTCTCATTACCTTTAAAAACATTTTTATTTTAAACCTGTTTCAGCAAACGTCTGAGAATACTACACTAATAACGCTAATTCTGCTAATGCTAATTCTGCTAATGCTAATTCTGCTAACGCTAATTCTGCTAACGCTAATTCTGCTCATGCTAATTCTGCTCATGCTAATTCTGCTAATGCTAATTCTGCTAACGCTAATTCTGCTAATGCTAATTCTGCTAACGCTAATTCTGCTAATGCTAATTCTGCTAATGCTAATTCTGCTAACGCTAATTCTGCTAATGCTAATTCTGCTAATGCTAATTCTTCTAATGCTAATTGAGCTCATGCTGAAATGCTAATGCTAATTCTGCTAATGCTAATTGAGCTCATGCTGAAACCTTTGTCTAATTTATTTTTAACTCAAATAGTTTTTTGCTTTCATGTTTTTAAAAATATCTCCATTTCTGAAAGATCTAAACCTCAGTGTAAATAAAAACAAAATAAATTTAAATCAAATTAAATACAGACATTTGCACAAATGCATATTAAATTGTGAAAACAGAATAACAAACTGTAGATGTAGTTTTTATGTCTCTTTTTTATGTTTTTATTTTAAATTTGCTCATTCACTCCATTTTATTGTCTTAAATAATTTTTATACTTTTCTGCATCACTTCAGTGAGTTGAGTTTCTTCCTCCACTTTGTCTCTGAGCCAATCAAAGTGCAGCCTGAGTTTTTACTTTGTTTAATTTGTTTGTGTTTATTTGTTTTGATAAACAAGTGAAACTTGTTTCTGAAAGTGTTGAGACGACGAACCTCAGAATCTGTTCATCAAGTCTGAACGAAACGTTAATGTTTGAGTTTAAACACGGCACTTCCTGTTTGGTGAGAGCGGTTCTATGGGTTTCAATGGTCCTGGTCTCTGTTCTCCTGCAGGTCCTGGATCCTGGTGGACCATGTCCTATGCACATCACAGGCTGCTCACCTGGAGCTTACCTCACCTGCTCCTCCTGCCCCTCGCCTACCTCTGGCTTTTGGCTCTGCCCACAGGTAAATGGTTGACGGAGCAACTGGTCTGAGGAGTGATGGAGACACAGACTGAGCTGCATCTCCTCCATAAACTCCTCATGGAGGGTCATCTGTGGTCCTCCTGCAGTCCTCTGTGGAACAGGTGAAGCCATGAGGTCACCATCCTCTTCCTCATGCCTCTGCTCTTCTTCCTTCTGGTCCAGGTGTGTCGGCAGGTCAGTGCCGGGTCACCAGCGGCGTTCTGGGGATCCGCTGGAGCAGCGTCATCGGTCTGGGCTGGCACCCGCTGGCGAGGGGCACGGCTGGGGCCACGTGTTGGGAGTCGTGCTGCCTGAACCCGAGCTGCGGCGCCTCCTGGAGCCTCGGGGGCCGCTGCGTGCTCCTCAGGTGCAGCAGGAAAGATGGTTGCTCCATCTCCTCCCTCCCCCAGCCTCACCAGGAGTCCCTGGGCCTCCTGCAGGTGCTCTCCAAGGTCTGCAGCAAAACAAACAGAAACCATGCATGACGAACGTAAATCTGACCCAGAGTCAGATCTGCTCTGTGTCGAACCTTCACAGTCT